AAGAAAAGAAAAGAAAAGAAAAGAAAAGAAAAGAAAAGAAAAGAAAAAGGAAAGACATACTAGCTTGTAGTATGCTCCCAGCCAGGGCAGAAAGACAAGTAGAACAATGCAGGGTTTCCACTGGTAGCTACCAACCTCCCCCTCTCCTTGCTTTCCCTGGCCATTTGGTGTGTAGGTATCCCCCACTTTTCAAAAGTTCACCTTACACCACTTGGCTTTTATGAAAGTCTTAGACCTGGAAGAAATAGGCAGAGGATTTCTGCTTTTCCCAAAGAAAGGGCAGAAAGCAAAAATAGCATTCAGTACTGGTTTTGCAGTGAGCTGCTAGAAAGTCATTGCACACCCTAAGCAGCAATAGTGGTGCCCCCAAACTCCTTCCCCGGGGAACTACACCCAGCATCTCAGCATCAAGCAGCCACAGCTTCGAACTGTATCTGTGAGCATCTGTGCTTTGTCTCTATTTATTTTGGGCATCCATTAGCAGGACATTTCTTAAGGTATCAGAAAAACCTAAGAGAGGTGATTTGGGGGTAGATGGGGCGGGGCATCTGGGAGTCTGGGAGTCCTCACATGTTTTTCCCATATAAATTAATGGTAATTGCTTCTTTGCTTAATGCCTTTGCTCTCAGCTTGAGAAAGGTTTCATAGGAACACTCTACTTTCAGACAGCAGGGAAAACCCATACTTGAAAATATTTATCTTTGGCTCTGAATTTTACTGTGATGCTATCGGAGTCCAAGCATTGTGATTTGGTGAGTGCCTTGAATTTATTAAAGCGGATCTTGTTTCTACACATTTACAAGATGTTAGATGCTATTATACACTGGAGACAAGTTCAGAGGTCAAAGGTCAGGAGGTACTAGGAAGTTATTGTCAAGACTGCTCCACCCTCAAGAGAAGGGAGCTGTTCACGAGACTTTAGGATAAAAGGAGAACATCTGGAGTATCAGTAATTAAGTCTGAAATGTGGTTCAAGAGGAAGTGACAAGTCTGTCCTCAGAGATCTTTTCAAAGTAGGACAGTCTCCATAGTTTAAATATCTATCGCTGGGTCTGGAGCTAGGTCTCATGGGATTTTTTAACTCCTTGGGTTCCTTTAGGGCCCTTGGGGGATGGCCTTGCATACACAGACAACAATTACAGAATTTAATCACAGTGGGACGTTTTTAGTTATCTTGGGAACTTTAAGACCTTTCTAAATCAGGTTTCATGGTTAAAATACAATTTAGCTGTGTTCGTGTGACAAAGATAAAGCCCCCGCACCGTTTAAACTAAAAAATACACGGCTTTGCAGTCCACTTGCATTTTCTGTGTTATCTTTGAAATAACTGTACGATGGGGAATAACTTCCTTTTTTCTACCCATCAATGATTTCGCCTTCTGCATAGGAGTTAATTCTTAGAGTGATGGCTTTTGATTTTCAGCTTCCCCATTTCTACTTGGAGTTTCTATCTGAAATACAGAAAAACTTCAACTTGACTATCCTGAAACATTTTAAAGCCTCCCCCTCACCTCCCTTCTCTTTATAGGAAATGTAAAAGCCCCTGATTTGGAATATTAGGTTATTTGTTCCAACAGGAACAATAAAAGGTGGGGAAGGTTAACTTCAAGTAAGGAGGGTAATGCCTCGTTGTCTTTGAGTGGATGTCCTGGGCTCCCCACCCTTCCCTAGAACTTGCAGAAATGAGGAGGTCTGGTGGCCTGTGACAGTGTGGGTTCATACAAACTGTTATAATTAGCCTTGTTCCCCAGAGAAAGGGACTCCTTGCCCCCCCCCAGGCGGGGGGTAATGTCTTAAGTTTGAAAATCTAATCAGACTGGGCTTTAATTTCCAAAGGAAGGAGTTGTGGGCTGCCCACCCCCAGCCAGCCACCCTGCAGGCAGGGGCAAGGTGGCCTCTGGGCATTAGAGCAACCAAGCTTTCTGACCTCTGGGGTGGCCTAGCAGCTAGAGTCCAGTGGCAAGAATAAAATTGTCAAATGCAAGAAGCTTTCATAATCTCACTATTTAACACTACTTGAGATGGTTTTTGTTGTTGTTGTTGTTGTTGTTTTGTTGTTGTTTTTCTCTAGATGTCAACACTGTGGCTGGGGCACAGGGGAAGTGGGCAGGTGAGGGTGGGGTCTGTTTGCCATATCTTATACCCCTTCCTGTTTTCTGAAATCCTATGCCTTATCTTTAGGATTAAGAATGCCTCAGTGGGCAGGTGCCTGGGTGGCTCGGTTGAGCATCAGACTTCATTCGGCTCAGGTCATGATCTCACTCATGATCTCATGAGTTTGAGCCTGGCTTCAGGCTCTCTGCTGTCAGCATGGAGCCTGCTTCGGATCCTCTGTCCCTGTCTCTCTCTGCCCCTCCCCCATTTGCGCTCTCTCTTTCAAAAATAAATAAAACATTAAAAAAAAAAAAAAAAAAAAAGAATTCCCTGGTGGGATTTCAGGTCTATTTCTAGGTCGGAGTGATCATTCTATCTCCCGAATGGCCAAAGGTTGGAGGGATAGCGCAGGTTTTTAAACTTTCTTATGGCTTTTGTTTCTGCTTTAGCTTGACCTTCCTCTTGGGCCCAGGAAAGGCTCTGCATCTGGCACAGCGGGGGGCCTGCTGACCTGTAAACACAGACAGGAAAATTTGGGAGAAGGCAGTGAAAGAAGTCAGCATCTCTAAATCAATTTATGATGCATGCAAATCATGTTTTCAAATATTTACAGAGTCTCTGAGGGAATTACATCACTGTTTATAACTGTTTTGATTGTTTTTTATGACTCAGGCCCTGTAGAGCCAAGCGATGTAATTCTTGAGAGATGCTGAGACTACGCTGCGAGCCTCCCCTCCTGAGCGGAAAGTCGGGGTGTAATGAGAAAAGCGCTCCCCTTAATAGACGGAGCTTGGCTGAGCACTGGGGGATTATTAATGTGCTGCTGGGTGGCAGGAGATCTTTCCTCAGTTTACAAGTGGTGGGGGCGGTAGGGGCAACCGTGGTAGCCCAGAATGGGCGGGAGCGCCTGGCCTGGATGTGGCAGGGCACGTGCAGGTGCGAGCTTTGTGTCTGCCTCCTCTGGGGAGTCTTAGAAGATTCTGGTGGAAATAAGCCATGAATGATTGGGGTTTGATGCTTGTCCTCAGATCCCATCCCATATGGCAAAACCTCCCTGACTTCATAAAGAGAACTGTCATCCATTCCTATTAGAGGACAGGGGAGGGAGAGGCCCCCAGTCTCCATGCACAGCAGTAGGGACTGGACCAGTTCCTGTCCATCTTCCATGACTCTGGTCCAGTCACTACGGCCTTGATCAGTGCAGTTAGCACAAGAGCACAATTCCAGCCCTTGACCATATCTCCTCATCCCCAGTGTCCCCATATGGTGCCTTGACCATATCTCCTCATCCCCAGTGTCTTAAACACAAGTGTGGGTCCACACAGCATCCTTGCGGAACAGTGTGGAACAGAAGTGGGAGCAGTGAACTCCAGCCTCACATCCCAGCTCTGCTCCTCAGTAGCTGTGTGACCTTCAGCATGATCCTTGACCTCTTTCTGGATTTAATGGATTAATCCTTGTAAATTCTCAGTGCCATGTCTAGCTTCTGGCATGCAGTCAGTTCCGGAAATGTTTGCTGTTATTAGTCAGCATGGTGACTTATATTATCAAGGCTGGTCTTTGAAACAAAGTAGTGGGGTTCTAAAGCCTGGCTTACCCCAGCAGTTGAGGAAATGAGGTGGCCAAAGGCTACTTAGAAGCCAGCTAGTGGGCACTGAGGGGGCCGATCACTGGGTCTGTATGAGAAGCCATTCTTTGTGTCTCTAAGCAAATTCCAGGACAGCAAACATCTTCTGGGCCAGCAAGATAGCTCCACTGGGAGCACCCAAGAGTGGGACATCCAAGAGGGGCTAGAGCTCTCCTCCCTGGGAGTTCCTGGGAAGACCCGAGTCCATGGCCCTCACTCGAGACTTGGAGCTTCTGGTGTCACGTCCTGAGTCCCTCCCTCCTCTCCCAGGAGCATCCCTGTGGTGCAGACGCTTCGGACCACCGCCCTGACCACTGCCTGTGCGGACCACTCAGACCAGCGTGTGGGTTACCTGGAGCATGTGGTGGCTCGCATCTCTATTTCCCACCCACGCAGGGGAGACCTCCAGATCCACCTCATTTCTCCCTCAGGAACCAAGTCTCAACTCTTGGCAAAGAGGTAAGGCCAGGCTGGCCTAGTGGGGCAAAGGCTGGGGATTGTCAGGAGGGCCTATCCAGCCCCAGGTCACAGTGTCCCTACAGGGCCCTCCTCCCCAGGGCAGGTTGGTTCTTCAGCAGCTTCCTCTTGGAGATACTCAGATGTATACCCCACCAACCTGAAACCTGGCCTTCAAAACAGTCCTTCCTGGAAAACTTTTGTTTCCAGGCAGGAGAGTTAAGGGTTTGGAGAGATTTATGGAATTCTGGCTATGACTTAATTGCTCTTCAAAGTGCACCAGAGATCATTTTTCTCACATTCACTCGGCATCTGGAGTAAAAGCTTGTATTAGGGAAGGACTGCTTTGCCCGCTGAAGCTTCTGCACGGTTCTCCAGTTGTGGGGTGTGCTCTTGAACTTGTGTGGGAGACTGGCTCACTTGGGGCGCTCGGTGGCTGCCCTCTACAGCCTTCTCACCCATGTGCCTGAGAGGGTCCCACTCAGGACCAATAAACAGCCTCTGAACTCTGGGGAATCACATAGGCTTTGTGGAGAGCCATGGAGCCATTTCTTCCACAAAGTCAGAAACAAGAAAGAAGTACTTTGATGCATTTGTGTTGCTTGCAGGTAACTGGAGTGAAGGGATTAATGGGAGGTTGGGGGAGGGGGCAAGGGGGACTGGGGCTTCCTTCCAGCCCCTTCTAGCTAAGAGGCAGAGGGAAAAAGAAAGGTTTCAGGACAAACCAGCACTTCCAGCTTCTCTTGAAAAACAGCTGGCAACTGTGTCCCCACCCCCCCACCCGCCTCAGCCTCAGGAAGCACCCTGCCACTACCTGTCCCCTGGGCCGTGGCCCCACTGCCTGCTTGCCCACACTGGGCCCACATGACCCATTTGGGTTCCCTGCCTGGGGCTGCAGCCATATTTGGGCTGTAGGATTCAGAAAATGGGGGTTGAGTGAAGGCCTCCATTCAGGACCAGGTAGGTAGGAGTTGCCGTTTCTCTTAGCCCCCTTCCACCCCACCCCTACTTTGCATAAGACAGAGAGATTGCCTGCAGAGATGAAAGGCTGAACGCTCTTGCCAGCCAGTTGTCTGAAGGAGTGGGGAGTTTGTCCTCTGGAACCAGCCCTGAGACCAGATCCTGGCTTCATGGGTTCCAAGGGCTTGGCCATCAGACTCAGTCCCCACCAGGTTAGGTTCCACCCTCGTAGAACGAGAGCGACAGGGGGCATCTCTCCCTCCTGAAGGTAGGCCTGGGCCACACTCTGCCTCTGCCCTTGGGAGACCAGCAAGGCTGTGAGCAGTTTGAGAGTGCCAGCTGGCAAGCCAACGCTTTATTTATGCTATTTTGCAACCAGAGTTATTATTATTATTACTGGAACTTTTAGAGATTTCATCTAAAAGTCCAAATTTCTAGCATTCCTTGAAACATTGAAGTTCTCTGATAAGGGCCCTCATTCCCTGTTCAAACACCAGACTGGAGCTGGGCGGATGGGCGGGGCCACTTCAAGGCACCTTAGGTCCCCGTCCTTACAGTAGCACGGAGGCCAGGCACAGGCTCCACTTCTCTGGGCTCTCATGAAGTCACCTCCCTAGAGCCCCCTTTGCTCCATGCTGCACACCAGGAGGCATCCAAGGTGGTGAGGCCTGACTTCGAGGCAGGAACTGGATCCAGGCACCAAATGGTGACCTGGGTTGACCAAGAGCCACAGTGAGGCTTAGGGGTTGGGGCGGCAGGTCAGAGGCCAGCAGGGCAGCAGTGACCTGCGAGGACCCATGCCGAGATGGGCTGTGGGCCCAGAGACATGAGATTATACCCTGCTCCTTCACCTCCTGGCTGGGCACCCAGGAGTCACCCATTTCTCCTCCCTTTATCCCTCACCTCTAGAAATATCATTTCACTCCCATCACAGTCCAGAATGCTACAAGCACTGGATGCTGATGATGTAGATGAAAATGCCCGGCACATGCAGCTGGCCTCCCTCCCTGTCCTGCTTACATCCACCTGACCTGGAAGAACCTTCCAGCGCCCCAGCATCCCCACCGCCTGGCCTCTGTGCACTCTGATCTCCTCCCCTTCTAACCTCCGTCCTGTTCAAGCCCAGTGTGTGCCCCTCAGATGGGAAAGAGCGGGTCCTGCCAAGTTCATTCGCTTCAAGACTACCCATTAGCTAGGAGGTGCTGTACCTGTGCCATCAAGCACTTGAAACCTGCCTTGAGGCCATTTGGCAGTCATCTGAGTCTTGGGAATTTGTTTTTTTCCAAGGCACAGATTTTGTGATTATATCAAGAGTTTGTATTTGGGCGATCTATTACTTCTACTTTATTCCGCATCTTGTCAATACGGCAGCTTTTTCAGGTTGCCAGATTTTTTTTCACCAAGAGTTAAGTTGACATTTCGTTAAGTATTTCAGCCCTTAGAAGACAGTTTGTCTTTGTTCTGTCCAGGCGGGTCGGGTTCGGTTTGGCATCGTGTGTGAAAATCAGCCTTGACCTTTGCAGTTTCTTAGAAGAACGTACAGGGTGTGGCCCTCCCCCTCACTATTCGCCAAGCGAAGAACATTCTTCCGATAAAGGTTTTTATACATTCGTTGGATGTTCGGAGAACACCCAAATCAGGCATCCAGTCTTACATCACACCAAATATGTATCTGAACTTCTGATGACAAATAAAGAGCTCTTGGGTAAAGACAGTGTTCCACAATAGAGCTAGAAAATTAGACTGGGAAGGAAGAGTAAGGGAGAAGAACCTGAGATTGTTTCTTCCAAGGAGAGGAGACTAAGCAGGGCACAGGGTGTGGGAAGAAAGAGGGTGCCCATAACTTGTTTCCTGTTTCCTGCTCAAGTCAAAGAAGAGGAAATGGATCTGGGTTGAAGTCCAGAAGGACCTTGGGGTAGCAAAGGACCAAGGGAGGCTCATCAGAACCTACAAGGGGAGGCTGGCTGAGGGGCGGGAGCTCCTGTGCCTCCTCGTGCTGCACCCAGGGGTGCCTCCCACCCACACTGGAGAACAACCAGGCCCCTTATGTCATCTCTTCCAAATGCACCTGTTGAAGCCTGTTAAGCCCTGGAGAGTTGCACGTTTTTCCTTCTTTGTATCTCCTGGAGAACAGCACGTAAGAGCTGGGTCCATGACAGATGTGAAGGTTTCATTCGTTCCATAAGCCAGCATTTTAGAAAGGTTTCCTCGGTGATGCCCTTGGTGCTTAAGTCAAAGAATCATGTGGCCTAGCCTCTTTCTGCCTTTGTGCATCCAGGCATTGGTCCAGATCCTCTGTAGGAGGGAAAGGGTAGGAAGGAACCAAACACCTGAAGGAACATGGGGTGGGGGATGGGGGGGTTTGAGGACCTTCTTTGGTAACCTCTTACACACCTCCCTGTGCTGGAAAGAACAAAGACAGGAGTCCGAATGCCATTGGGTGAGTCCCAGCTCAGCTGGTTCCTGGCCGTTGGACCTGCCATGAATCACTACCCTTGGGATCTCTCCATCGGCAAACTAGGATGGCAGGAAGAGCCCATCGCTGGCTGAGTCCGTCTCATGTTGGGCACCTGTAAGTCCTGCCAGCCTGCCTGCCTCTCAGAATGTTCAGGGGACCCGATGGGATAATGAAGGTGAAGCTGCTGTCCAGGGCTGTGTCATAATGCAAGGGTTTGAAAGCGGTCACCATTGTACCTGCACCTGCGCCTGTGCTAAGGGCCAGGCTCTTTTTCCTTCCGTTCTCAGACCTGCTGCCCTGGAGGTGCCACTCAGCTGAATAGTACTGTCACCTAAGTAATTCTGAGCTGGGAGAGAGCCCTCCTCGGCCTGTCCCACTCCCTCCTTTCCAGATCCTCGTGTTCTCACCCCGAGTCTCCAATTGCAGATTGCTGGATCATTCCAATGAAGGGTTTACAAACTGGGAATTCATGACCGTGCACTGCTGGGGAGAAAAGGCCGAGGGGGAATGGACCTTGGAAATCCAAGACATGCCGTCCCAGGTCCGCAACCCCGAGAAGCAAGGTCAGTGGTTCTCAGGAATTTCCAGACCACTTTTGTTATTTCTACCTTTTTGTTAACTCAGACTTTTATTTAACTTGTGTCTCTCATAATTCTTTCTTTTCTTTTCTTTTTCTTCTTCTTTTTTTTTTTATGGAGGTAAAATTCACCATTTAAATCCTTTTAAAGTGTATAACTAGGGGAGCCTGGGTGGCTCAGTCAGTTAAGCGTCCGACGTGGGCTCAGGTGATGATCTCATGGTTCGTGAGTTCAAGCTCCACGTCAGGCTCTGTGCTGACAGCTCAGAGCCTGGAGTCTGCTTGGGATCTGTGTCTCCCTCTCTCTTCCCCTCCCCTGCTCACGCTCTGTCTCTCCTTCTCTCTCAAAAATAAATACACATTGGGGCGCCTGGGTGGCGCAGTCGGTTAAGCGTCCGACTTCAGCCAGGTCACGATCTCGCGGTCCGTGAGTTCGAGCCCCGCGTCAGGCTCTGGGCGGATGGCTCAGAGCCTGGAGCCTGTTTCCAATTCTGTGTCTCCCTCTCTCTCTGCCCCTCCCCCGTTCATGCTCTGTCTCTCTCTGTCCCAAAAATAAATAAAAAAACGTTGAAAAAATAACTAAATAAATAAATAAATACACATTAAAAAAATAAATAAAATGTGTAACCAAATGGCCTTCAGTACATTCACAGTCTTGTACAACTTACCGCTTAACTAAATCCAGAACTTTGTCATCACCCCAAAGGGATACCCCATATCCACTAAGGAGACACTCCCCATTCTCCCAGCCCCCAGCAACCCCTAATCTACTTGCTGTATCCATGGATTTGCCTCTTCTGGATGTTTCATGTAAATGGAATCACACAATATGTCACCTTTCGTGTCCAGTTAGCCTAATGCTTATAGTATGTATCATACTTCATGCCCTTTCATGAATAATACAATTTAATTGTGTGTAAATAATTGCATCTATAACATTTTGTTTATCCTTTCATGAGTTGGTGGACAGCTGGGTTCTTTCTACTTAATGACTGTTAGGAATAATGCTGCTTTGAACATCCACATGTAAGTCTTTATGTGGGCATACATTTTCAGTTTCTCTTGGTTGTATACGTAAGAATGGAATTGCTGGGTTATATAGTAATTCTATGTTTGACTTTTTGGAGAACCATCAAACTGTTCTCTGCAGTGCTGTACCATTTTATATTCCTATCATCACTATATGAGGATTTTAGTTTCTCTCTGTCATCATCAGCTCTTGTTTTATCATATCCATTTTCTTATTATAGACATCCTAGTGGGTGTGAAGTATATCTCATTACGGTTTTGATTTGCACTAATTCCCCTAATGACTAACAATGCTGAGCATCTTTTCGTGGGCTTATTGCCCACTTTTATCTTCTTTGGAGAAATGTGTATTCATATCTTTTGCTTATTTTAAAACTGGGTTGTCGGGGCGCCTGGGTGGCGCAGTCGGTTAAGCGTCCGACTTCAGCCAGGTCACGATCTCGCGGTCCGGGAGTTCGAGCCCCGCGTCAGGCTCTGGGCTGATGGCTCAGAGCCTGGAGCCTGTTTCCGATTCTGTGTCTCCCTCTCTCTCTGCCCCTCCCCCGTTCATGCTCTGTCTCTCTCTGTCCCAAAAATAAATAAATAAATGTTGAAAAAAAACTTATAAAAAAGAAATAAAACTGGGTTGTCTTTTATTATGGAGTTATAACAGGTTTTTTTTTAATGTTTGTATTTATTTTTGAGAGAGAGACAGAGCACAAGTGGGGGAGGGGCAGAGAGAGAAGGACACCCAGAATCCAAAGCAGGCTCCAGGCTCTGAGCTGTTGGCACAGAGCCTGACACGGGGCTCGAACTCGCGAACAGCGAGATCATGACCTGAGCAGAAGTCAGACACTTAACCGACCGAGCCACCCAAGCGCCCCAGTGGTTGGAATTTTGATAGAGATTTCACTGAATCTAGTTCAGTTTGGGGAGAATTGCCATCTTTACAAAATTGAGTTCTCCCATCCATGAACACAATTTATTTATTTATTTTGACTTATCTCGATCTTCTTTCATTTCTATCAGCATTGTTTTGTGGCTGTCAGTCCACATGCCTTGTACATCCTGGGTGACATTTGTTCCTAAGTATTTTGTTCTTTTTGATGCTATTGTAAATGGAATGGTTTTCTTACTTTTGCTTTCAGATTGTTTTTTTTCCTCTGGGATGGTAGCCTTTCCTAACTCTCCTTTTGGGTCATAATCATTTCTTGAACTGATCTGTATTGAATTCCTACTTTGGGCCAGGCACTGATGGAGGTGATAAGGCTACACCAGGAGAGAAAATGAGAATAATCATTGCGTCTTCTGCCATAGTCACCAACCTCAGTCTCTGATGTCTTCACATATCTCTCTGTTGGATTGGGATTTGTAGTAAAGGGACAGGGACTATGCTGTCTGTGGAGACAGTTCCCTGAAGTTTGCTTTCACTGTTCTGTTGTCCCTAGGGTCCTGCTTCTTGATCACCCTAGAACCTTCCCCTGCCCTGGTCCTTTTCAGAGTTTTCATGAAGCACAGTTTCAGAGAATTTTTTTTTTTAACCAGGAAGAACAGAAGAGCATTGACTTGCCTCATGCAGAAAATTGACTTTATTATTTTTTGTGTGTGAGAGAGAGAGAGAACGATCGAGGGAGAACAAGAGGGGGAGGGGCAGACAGAGAGTGAGACAGAATCTGAAGCAGGCTCCAGGCTCTGAGCTGTCAGCACAGAGCCCGATGCGGGGCTCAAACTCACGAGTCACAAGATCATGACCTGAGACGAAGTCAAATGCTTAACTGACTGAGCCACCCAGATGCCCCCAGAAAATTGACTTAAAAATTTTTTTTAATCTTTATTTATTTTTGAGAGAGAGACAGAATGTGAGCAGGGGAGGAGCAGAGAGAGAGGGAGACACAGAATCTGAAGCAGGCTCCAGGCCCTGAGCTGTCAGCATAGAGCCTGATGTGGGGCTCAAACTCACGAATCGTGAGATCATGACCTGAGCCGAAGTCAGACACCCAACCGACTGAGCCACCCAGGCACCCCAAAAATTGACTTTAAATGATCAAATCGGGGCGCCTGGGTGGCGCAGTCGGTTAAGCGTCCGACTTCAGCCAGGTCACGATCTCGCGGTCCGTGAGTTCGAGCCCCGCGTCAGGCTCTGGGCTGATGGCTCAGAGCCTGGAGCCTGTTACCGATTCTGTGTCTCCCTCTCTCTCTGCCCCTCCCCCGTTCATGCTCTGTCTCTCTCTGTCCCAAAAATAAATAAAAAAACGTTGAAAAAAAAATTTTAAATGATCAAATCATCTATAAGACCCTGCCTGCCCCCAGTCACTTTCTTTCTGCCTTTAGGATAATAACTATTTTGAAAAAAAAAGTTACTATAACAGTCTAAAAATACAAAGATGCAAAATTTTACATCACTTGAAATTCAAATTAAATCACTTGAAATTGAAAGTTTATTTATTTTGAGAGAGAGAGAGAGAGAGAGAGAAAGGAGGGGAGGGACATAGAGAGGGAGAGAGAGAATCCCAAGCAGGCTTTGGGCTGCCAGCACAGAGCCCGATTGGGGGCTCGAACCCGTGAACCATGAGAACATGACCTGAGCCGAAACCAAGAGTCGGATGCTCACCCCACTGAACCACCCAGGCACCCGAAATTCACATATTTTAAAAGTAGAAGTTCCTGAACTCTTTTAAAACACTAAAGTGCACTGACCTACCATTGAAAGTCGAGGATCAGCGTCTCATGCCAGCTGCAGCCACAAGCATCGCGTGCTCCTCGGGTACAAGGTGCTGTTCCTGTGCCATCAGCACTGCCACTTGCACCCGGATGGATGCGTCTGTGGAGCTGTGTGTTCACACAGCACAGCTTGTCCGTCGGAAGCTGAGGCCCATGTCTATCGCGGGGAAGAGCATGCACACCGTTGTGATTCTGGTAGATGTTTATTTACACTTCTAAGAACTTTGCAAGTCAGGGTCCCTGTCTGGACCTCAGTGTCCTGGGCTGTGAAACAGAGCTGAGCTAGATGTTCTCTGAGCCCTCATAGAGGACCTGCCTGTCTCTGAAGCAGTGGCTCGTGTGGCACGTCCACAGCCTGGAGGGGGCTCTGCTGGCCTGAGGTTACCCCTCCCCTCTCTCCAGCCTGCCCACATCCCAGTCCTCTTTAGGACCAGCTGGAGACATCCTCTTCCTGCAGGGGTGGGTGGGCGGCAAGATGGGCAGGCACCTAGAAGATCCCCACACCCCCTGGACCGGCACTGCCTGCGGGCGGCTTTATCAGCATGCAGGTGCTGATGTGGTGTGTCCAGTGGTGCCCGAGATCCTGCAAGACCACATTGCACCTGGTGCTGTAGGCCACTGCAAGGATTGGTGGGAAGCCACTGGGGGCTTTTAGGCAGAGGAGAGAGACGGTGTGAACTTCTCTGTTACTAGGTTCACCCCTGCCAGTTTGGTCGGACTACTCCGAACTGTGGTTGGAGTAGAGGAGAGGCACAGTTAAGGGGTCATTACGATGGGAAAGGAAGGTGACTCAGACCAGGGTGGTGGCAGTGGAGTGGTCAGATTCCCAAAGCCGTGTTGAGAGGGCCTGCTGACAGGTAAGATACGGGCTGTGAGGGCAGAGAGGGGACATGGACGACTCCAGAAGATGGGTTTTGTTCTGGGCAAGAACGGACCCGCAGTTTCCTGGATCTGGAACGCTGCAGGGGAGGGGGTGCTGGAGAGAAAATTGGGAGTTTAGTTTAGGGCAGGGGGTTCCATGGAAGATTCCTATGACAAATCCAGGTAGAGATGTGTACCTGGATGCCAGGGTGGAGGTCTGGGGTCTGGGCTGGAAGTACACATTTGGCAAGTAGCTGGTAGTGAAAGCCACAAGTGTGCACGCGCTCTCCCCGGGGGTGAGTGGGGATACCCTGCCGCCCTTCAGGGGTGGGCACTGGAGGGAAATCTACCTACGTAATGATGATTCTCGCAAGTGCAAGTACTGAGCTGTGGGGT